CAGGTGAGAGCTCCCTCCAGACCCAGCCAGTTTGCTCTGTAGTTCAGGAGGCCGAAGCCAGGCTCCCAGGGAGTGGCATTGATGAGGGGCGCTCCCAGAGAGTGGCATTGGTGAGGGGCGCTCCCTCCCCTCCCGGCCGGGCACAGCAATGCCCTAGGCCTGGGCACGGACCCGTCAGCTCCCCAGCTAGTCAAGAACGTGGCGGTGTCTCCTCAGTGACCCGGGCTGCCGTGAGCCCATCGCCCTGCCCTGCTTCCCTACGCTGGCTGCCCACAGGCCGGAGACGAGGCCGAGGGCTCGTTCCCGATCCCCGGGACCTGTGCCCGGGGATTTACAAGAGCCCAAAAGCTCCAGCCCCTCTGGTCCAGAGGGACCCGCCCCCATCTGTGCAGGAGCAGAGCAGCCTTGGGGGCCTGTCCCCCAGGAACTAAGGATCACCCCAGCCCTCCCACCTCCCAGTCCCAGGGGCCCTTCGCTGAGCGGCCTGCACAGAGCAGATGCCGTGGGGACAAGCGCGGTAAAGGAACATGTAAAGGAGTTTTGACTGGATACGGGGCCCTTCTACACTTCCTGCCCTGTCCTGTTGTGCAGCGGGGCAGGGTGGCTGTTAAATGGCTTGTGCGCCCCACCCCAGAAACAGCGACCACCCAGCCTCAGGAGAGGAATCCCTGTGTACACGGTCGCTGTGCCCCTCCCCTCCCCACAGGCAGCTGCATCTCAGTGTCTGGCAAAGGACCCCTGTATAAACAGCCCCCACGCCACACCCCAGAGGAGGCTGCATCTCAACACCAGTCAAGGGAGCCCTGTATAAACAGCCCTATGCCCCACCCCAGAGGTGGTTGCATCTCAAGGCCGGGGGAAGGATCTCTGTAGAGACACTGCAGCCTGTAAAGGGCTTAGAAATGGGGGAAGCTGAGAAAAGCCATCGAACGGGGCGGTATTGCAATATTCTACTCACAGTGGAGTCTGGGGCAGTGCCTGGCAGCACTAGCTCCGCCACTTGGGACCCCGGCAACGGGATCTGGGGGAACCAGGTTACATTGTCCTCAGCAGGATGTGAAGGAACCTAGTGGCTGGCTGGCCGTGCCCAGCATCTCGGGCTGGCAGCAGATGAGACCCCCACTGCACCCAACGGGGAGGCACTGAGGGTCACGCGCCATCGCGCCGGGGCCAGATGGAATGTCCAGGCTGCTTGGACGTGGGCCCCAAGTCCTGCTGGGGAAAGGAGTGGCTGCAATCCGCAGAGTTCTGGGGAAAGGCTGGCGAAGGGCACACGTGCAGCGAGTTTGGTGGGTCTCAGACGAGCCCCCACAGGACGTTTATTCTGGCCATTAAGCAAAAGCAATCCAGCATCCGGACAGGATTGGCAATGTGAGATCAGCGCAGGAGAGGTCCCGGGCGGCAACAGCAGTGGGGGTGGGGGTCGGGAGTGAGGGGCATCAGCACAGCTGTGTGCGGGAAGGTTGGAGGGAGCCCAGGGCTGGGATAGCAGGGGGCTGGAGGTCAGGGTTGAGGGGCACCCACTGACAGAGAAGCCCCTTTCTCTGCAGCTTTCTGCCCCACGCTGCAATCCGCTCGGGTGCTGCCCAAGAGCGAATCCTGCCCAAATGCCATTCTGCCACATCGTCCCCATAAACCTGCCTCCTCTGTGACCCAGCACGACCCCCACGCGCAGGGCAACACTGGCCCCCCGGAGCACCCGTGGGGTGATGGGGGGACTCACAGCTCCAGGCGGATGGATCTGTGCTCCGTGACCTGCACCCACAGCAGAGCAGAAGGGTGCCAGTGCCGGGCACGGCTGGGGGGCTGCAGGGGACCAGCGCCGGACACAGCTGGAGGGGGTGCTGGGTGCCAGCCCTGGCATGGCTGGAGGGCGTGCTGGGTGCCAGCGCCGGGCACAGCTGGGGGGCTGCAGGGGGCCAGTGCCAGGCACAGCTGGAGGGGGTGCTGGGTGCCAGCCCAGGGCATGGCTGGGGGGCTGCAGGGGGGTAGCGCCGGGCACGGCTGCAGGGGGCTGCTGGGGGGTAGCGCCGGGCACGGCTGGGGGGCACTGAGGGGCAGGCTGGCAGCAGGGCCCGGATCGCGCTCACTCACCGTTGCAGAACTGGAGCAGCGTGGCCGTGTCGTAGGGGCCAGCGCAGCCCGGAGCCCGCTCGGCCATGCCCGCACCCGGCCCGGCCCGGCCCCGCCGGCCGCTGCCCCCCGCCCCGCGCCTCCCTCCCTCCCTCCCGGTCCCTCCCTGCCTCCCGTTCCCATGGCAACCGCCTTTCTCCTGCATCATCTCTGCCTGGAAGGGGAGACATCGCGGAGCGCCCCGCCCCCTCTCTAGCTCCGCCCCCTGAAATGCGCCCCACTCCCTCAGCCCCCCATTCTGCCCGCCCCCGCCCCGCCCCCTCCCTCAGCCCCCATGCAGTCCGCCCCATCCCTTCAGTCCCCCTTCTGCCTCCGTCCCTGCCCCCATGCGGTCCGCCCCCTCAGCTCCGCCCCCACTCCAGCCCCGCCCCCTTCAGCCCGCCCCGTGGCCCCTCCCCACCCTCTCACCCACCCTTAACCCCCCACTGCCACTGCCCCTTCCCGCCCTGAACCCCCACTGCACCCCCACCTCCTCCTCA